ACCAGAAAGAAAGGCTGGTCCCAGGGATGGCCCTGCACATCCTGCTAGTCAGAGATTGACTGGGCTCAGAGAGTAGCACACGTAGCTGGCAGGAGTGGACATGGATGTACACCCTGAAAATGTAAACTTAGAAATGTTTTGGTTTGGATTGGGTTGATTTGGTTTGTTTGGGTTGGGCTGATTTTGGCTGATTTGTTTGTTTTGTTGGGTTTTCGGTTTTTTTGATACCTATGTTTGAAATCAGTGAAATGTTAGGAATAATGCTGGGAATGAGGGAGACTGAAATTGGACTAGAAGATCATTGTAGGTCCCTTCCAACTGAAATAGTTCTGTTCTGTTCCTTTCTGTTCCATTGCACTCCAGAATTTTGAAAATCCAGCAATGATCCTTTGAAAACCCTGATCCGAGTGAAAGGTGTTACTACCCAACTCCTATTTCTGAGACACTTAAGCTTATGTTTTAATTTCACCTTATACTAGAGGTACCTGGATCCAAAATTTGCACAAGCCTCATGATTCTCTCAGGTTTCCTTCATCCTTGTTCTTTCATGCTCTTTTTGGAAAGCACATAAAACCCTTCCTCCACTGGGAATGCAAGTGCCATGACCCAGTGTTCTATTTTGACATTAGGACAAATTAAATTGTTTCTTTCCATGCCAAATGAACCAGAAACCCCTGTTGTGCCATTATTATGATTACAACACTGTTCCTGAATGCATTAATTTCTCTTAGGAGTCCAAACAGTCTTTATATTTTGTGGGTAGAGGGAATGTTTTACAGAAGTAAAAAGAAGAAAAAGACAAAAAAAAAAAAAACACACCAAAAAACCCAACCCTTTCCTTTGTTTTTGCTAGACAAGCTACTTAGCATGCAATGCATTTAGAAAGGCTCTAGCTGAGTGTCTCAGTGGTTACTTTTTAAAAATCAGCAGGCATTGTTCTGGGGGTGGGCAAGCTGCCAGCATGAGCCTGAAAGCATTGCAGAAATTACTGAACTGGGAAACCACAGTGGCAAAGGAAAGGACTGAAATACAGACTCTGAGGTTGAGTTTCCTCCTGCTTCCTCCTTATAAAGCTGGCAGAGCTCTCTTGACTTCAGCTCCTGATGCACATCACTGTCAAGAGATGGGTTTGTGGGGAGAAATGGAACTGCCTGTTTATCCAGAGCTGTGCTACTGAGTTAAGTGGGATTACTCCAGATTATACACCAGAGATGTAACAGAGATCAGACTCTGGCCTTTTCAAGTGTAATTCACATCCTTACCCCATCCCACTGGCTCTTTTATCTTCATCCACCATGAAAAGGAGTCCTGCCTGGCTGACCTCCACTGTTAACAAGGCCTTTGAAAGAAACTAGGGAACCTGTTTATGTGGCACAGCTTGTTAGATGATACTACAGACTATTTTGTTGTGCAGTGTCACTGTTGTTTTTTTTTCCTTCTGGTCATGTTCAACTGAAGAGAAGATGTTTTTTCTTCCCACCACCTCCATTCTATAGATGTCACAGGGGCTCGACCAAAAAAAAAAAAAAAAAAAATCCTTGAAAAATCATAGAATCAGAATCACAGATTGGTTTGGGTTGGAAGGAACTTTAAAGATCATCTAGTTCCAACCCCCCTGCATGGGCAGGGACACCTCCCACCAGCCCTGGTGGCTCCAAGCCCCATCCAACCTGCCCTTCAACACTTCCAGGGATGGGGCAGCCACAGCTTCCCTGGGCAACCTGGGCCAGGGTCTCACCACCCTCACACTAAAGAATTTCTTCCTAATGTCTAAGCTAAATCTATCTTCTTCCATCTTAAAACCATTATCCCTTGCCATCTCACTACACACCCTGATTAAAAGCCCCTCCCCAGCTTTCCTGGAGCACCTTCAGGCACTGGAAGGTGCTCTAAGGTCTCCCTGGAGCCTTCTCTTCTCCAGGCTGAACAACCCCAACTCCAGAGCAGAGCTGCTCCAGCCCTCTGATCGTTGGTGTGACCCTTCTCTGGACTCACTTCAGGAGCTCCATGTCATTCTTATGTTGGGGGCTCCAGAACTGGAGCACAGTACCTTTGTGTGAGCTCGATCTAATTGATTCTCGACATCTTCAAGGTAGACATGAGCAACTGAGCTGGCTGGGGATACATCCTTCAAAGAGGAGAAACATTTGTAAGAAGAATCAGCATTTGGACGAGATAATGTATCTTCTCAAAGACACATTTTAAAATACCCTAACACCCACCAAGTGTCTATTTGTCCCAGGCAGAGTCTGAGATAATTAGCTGAGCTGTAGATGTCTTCAGTATGGTTAACTGGGACTAGAGCAGGTAATTTCTCATTTCTACACAGACAAATTGCTGGACATGGATGCCTGTTTGTACAGCCAGATTCATACTGAAGTTTGCCCATGTTCTTCCATCACTGGTCAACTCACTGAAGACTAGAGAATAGATATCTTGTGCATCTTAGAGAGGCTGAGCTCTCCAAATAGTGGGTCATTTTCAGCAGAGAGGATCTAATTTATAAATGCAAAGAGTTAAAAATGTAATTAGTGATTTTAGGTGCTTTTGGGGTTTTTTTTGTTATACAATTGTTGATAACTGAACACAGCCTGATTTCCAGACTGTGTGTGAGATGGGGTTCCCTTGGAACATCTGGCCCCTTTCAGATATTTTAGGTTGGCCATCCAAAGTGAAGTCACCCAGAAATGTTACTTTGCATTCAAAAATCTAAACTCTCAGTCCCATATATTGTGGGGGATCTTAAGTTTCTTTGCTTTGTAGATAGAAGAAAAAATAAGTCATTTTGAACACATTTTATATCTCATCTCTAAATCTCCTCTTCTCACCAGCTCTGCCACACACATCTTTATGGTTGGTTTTATGGGAACACAGTAAAATATTGCATAAAGAAGTTCCAGAAACATACCTAAAGCAAACACTACTCAGCTGCCTGGGATTTGTCTCACATGCACTATAATGATGGAATTTTAGCTCTGCCTCCTCACACTTAGCACACATACATAGATTTGTTTAGAGAGAAGATTTTCACTTATCTCCCAGCTGCTACCAGACTATCCTTTAAATGCCACAGAAGTTGCATGAAGCTCTCATTAGATCAGGAGTGGTTTATTCCTGTATGTTCTTTCAAATTGTTTCTTGGCATCTGATAAATGCACCATGACAACCACTGCTGGGATTTTGGGCTGTTGTCTCAGTGGGTGGGAAACCCTCCTACTCAGAACTGCAGGTACAAAGTAGACATTTTTCTGTTATTTGATGTTTTCCAGAGAGAACCATGAGGGGAAGAAAGCAGAGGCAAATAAAAGACATTTTTTAACTGACAGTCAGTTCTTAGTGACTTAAAATAATGTAGTGGGGGTGGTGTGGGAGAAGAAAAAAGATATTTCTTTCATTATGTTTTTTTTTCTAGCTTTAAAAATATATAGTAAAGTTAAGAAAAGCCCTCATATGCATATGGATCCTGTAATTATCTTGCTCTACAAATGAACATCCAAATGAATGTATATGGAATAAACCAGTAGAACCCTTTGGGGCATCTGGAGGAAGATTTTAAATACTGAAATGGAAATTACATTGTATTTATGATTTCTTACTTCCAACAGCTTAAAAAAAGAGCTGACCCAAACCAGTACTTAAACCTTCTTAGATGAATCTTTAGTCCTTGGTAGGACTTGCAGCTCAATAACTGGAAAACCATTCCTATATGTAAATATAACCAGTCTCTAGTACACCTCTGTGTACTTGATCTATGTAAGAATCCTCATGTCAGGTTCAGGAACCAACATTTTAACCTGTTTAACCTGAAAAAGAAGTGATTGAGACATCAAACTTTGTATTAACAATCTCTTATCCCTTCACGTATCCCTGTCTTTTTTTCCCTTCTGCTGAGTTTTTGGCTCAAAGGGATGATTGTAGGGTTGTGCTGTCAGTAGACACAGAAACACACATAAAGGCATTTTCCCAAATGGCCAAACAGTTTAGTAAGAGGCACCATGGAAATTGCCACAAAGATATTTATACTGCTTTCAGGTAACTTGGGTAAAAGAGTGTAAAAGAAATTTACAACAGGGTCAAACTAAAGAAATGGTATCTTTGCACTCAAATAAAATAATACAGTTACAAGTCAAACTTCCCACTCTCTGCCCTCTTAAAAATGGTTCTAAGTGTATTAACTTCCTTTTATCTTTATCTTTCTCATCCCTTCTCTTTTCTCACCCCATTCTTTCATCAATGACTGCAGCTGCTGGGACATGAATGACAACACTGCCTTGTGGTGGGTGATCAAGGGTCCTGTGGTTGGATCAATCATGGTAAGTAGCAGTTGGGGGAGTTGCTTCCTCAACAAGGTATCTAGGCTTCCTTTAGTTGATGAAGGTCTTGGATTTGATTCAAATTATGCTAGATACCCATGTATGGATGAGTAGGATGTTCTGTTTGGGAACAAATATGGGAATTTAGGAAATGAAATTGAGCCCCCAGACAGCCTGTTTAGTCTGAAAAGTCGTTTGTCTTACCACAAGCAAATGTTTTATTCTGGGCATGCTAAATTGCTCTCTATACTCCACTGACAGAATTAGCCAGGTCTTCATTGACTGTTGGAATTTAGATATCGAGCTCACAGCTAGCTCTCTTCATGTAGGTGTTTTCATGAGGTTTGGTCCTAAGCATTTGGGCAGTTAAAGTACAGGAACCTTCAAATACATTACAGGTAATTCAGCTAATAACACTGAAGGGTATTGAGATGGAGAGGGCCAATAATCCAGGGTGTTTGTGATATCAATGCATGTGAGCTCCCATACTTTAGAGATATATTCTATGAAAGAGCCCATTCTGGCTTTGGGGAATGAGTTTTACCCAGCTTCTGTTGAAGGTATTCAAGATTCAAATGACTAGCAAGGGACAATTGGGCTTCCTCATTCATACGTGGTCCTCAGATGAGATAGAAAATTCTTCTGAAAAAGCTGCTCACATGTAGTTTAAGTGATTTGTCTCCTAACAATAATAAAAGGCTGCATAAGGAACCAGCTAATACATCCCATTGCTTTCTTCTGGTATTGAAGCTATGGAGCTAGTGACAGCCAAATTGTAGCAGAAACATCAAAATAAACAGTAAAGATGCCCAGGGTGATATACAACTAAAAGACATAAATATGAATTTTAACATCTATTTTCCCCCCCCAAAAAAATAATAAATTCATCTCATCTGTCATCTCCTCTTGGACCAGATTCAGCCAAGTAGAGGGAAAGTGACAATACTGGGATTTTCAGGAAAGAGGAGACACTAAATAATGACTGAGAGATCCTGCTAAACTGAGAAGTGTCTTAGTTGAGAGGATGGGAGCTAAAGATATTTTACTGTTCAGAACTTTGCTCTCTGGTTTTGATGTGCAGGAACTTTATTCTTTGCACTGGTTGATAATGAAAAGTGTTGAAACATTTTTGTTCACATTTGTCTTATCTGGTGCTAGAGACTGAAGAAATTCTGCCTTACTTTAGCTACTGCAAGAAAAATTATTTTTGCCTGGAAAAGGGGCAATAAGACCCTTATAACTTTTCCTATTACCCCTGACCCTATAAAACTTCTAGACTGAAGTTTGGAGAAGAATAGGGCAATGGAGTCAGCAAGTCACTGGGAATGTCTCATTCTCATCCTTGAAAACCTGTATCACTATCATAATTTTTTCCTGTCTTTTTCCCCTAGATAAACTTTGTGCTTTTTATTGGCATAATTGTGATACTTGTGCAGAAACTCCAGTCGCCTGATATTGGGGGCAATGAATCCAGCATTTACTTGTAAGTACAAATAAAGCAGTAATCAATTTAGATTTCTAATATACACATAGGAAAAAAAGGACAAAGTCAAAAAGACACCTTGGCTGAATCAATTTGGTTTTCAAAAAGAGTCACAGGATCTATTTGGTTGACTTTTACTTTTTTTCTTTGAAATCCAAAAGCCACTGAAATGCAGATTCGTACCAGCTTTCACCTCTCTTGAATAGGTCAAGAAACTAAACATAAATACAAGATTTGAAAAACAAAACAAAACAAAACAACCCCCCAAAATGTCTTTACGGGTCAGTTATATGGAAATGAATATACTGACCAGGCATAAATATTATTCTTCTCATGGGACAGTCTATTGTGCTTCATACCTTCTAGGGCAGGGTCTAAAATTTTTTGAAAACAATAAGATTTGACAAAAAGATTTGGACTCAATTATATTTGAGGAAGATTCCCCCCAAATTGATTATGTTCATGTTTCTTATAAGTTTGAATTCTTTCCCCTTTAACCAAAGAATTCCCTCCTTTCACCTAGAATTGCTTCAGCATGCACAACAAATCTTAATTTTTTCCTTTAGAAGTTTTAAAACTTTGTGATACACATTTTTTTTTAAAACCAAACATCCTTTTTTTAGTTTCCATCTCATTAGAGGATAGAGGTTGGTCATTTGAGTTGATTGTCACTCCCATTTTGAGTGCATGCAGATAAAAATTCTAGAATAATTTTGAATTACTAGATTATGTGGCAGCACATCTGGTGTTTTCTTGGCTTTTCAGCCTAAACACCAAGCACATTTTCTTAGCATTTTTTAGTGAGATCTAGTGATTTCTATCACTCATGAACATAAGCAAGACTATTTGGTTTAGCACTGGATTCCTGGTGAAAAAAGGCAGGTCATGTAAGTCATAAATAAAAAGAAAGCTGTCAAGGTGAAGTAGAAGATCCTTATTTTGCAGTACCTTTTAAAAATAATCATCCAGTGATCAGTTTCACCCTAAGTAGTGATGTCATCCATCTAAATGACAAGTTTCAAGGGAAAATATGTCCTCCAGCTGCCTGCTTTTCTTCCCTTCTTTCCTATTGCCTTGTTAACATTTACACGAACTGGTAATGTTTTATGCATCACTTTTTGATGTCTGCAACCAGACATCTACTTATTGAAAGTATTGGCCTTCAAGCTTGCTCCAAGCTTTGTTTCCACAGACAAAAAAGGGACTTTAAGTTAATTTTGCAGGTGGATATATCTCAGAATTCAAACCCAGGAGAGAATGTAGTGGATAGGTTGACTGTATGCATGATTTGCCTAGGGCTTGCGTGAAGACTCCCCATGTAGGTGCTGCTGGGATGTCACCCACTGACTCTTAGGTTGCAATTAGCATCCAAAATGTGCAGAGCTAGTTCTGATTACGACCTACTAAGTGCATGTTTGATGTCTGGATGCACATCTCTCACCTATGAAGCAAAGCATGTCATAGACTCCAGTGATTTATCGAGGTTATAGAACATCCTTGTCATTTTTTATCAATATGGTGACTGGGTTTTACTGATATTTTTCCTATGTGTATAGTTACCAAACCCAAGAGAAAACATCATATTTTCTGTTCCATTCGCTGCCATTACTTTTCATATTTCTTTGCAACTTTATAAATGGGTGTGTATAGATTGAACTTGCATTTCTGTATGTGTTACGAAGTGGAGTGTTGTTTATCCAAACAGATTCGACCAAAGTCACACAGAAATGATAAAAAATGAAATAATAAGTCTATGAAGACATACACCAGGCGTATTCAATATTTTTGCACTCATATCCTATAAAAAGAGAGCTACTATAATGAAGAAAAACAAGATAGATCATAGTGTGGTCATGTCACCATATTGAAATCTCTGTGGCATTTAGACTGTGGTCCATATTAAGCATTTTCCATGTCCTATTTTGCTGTTTCAAATGATCCCATCAGACTAAACTCTCCATCCATACCTTTATTGAACAATATATTTAAGTACTTTGCCTTTAATACATGAGACAGATGAGTTGTGGTTGAAGAAGTGTGTTCAGCCTTCTTCTGAAGGCAATAAATATCACATGGTATCTGCAGTAGTGACGGACATTTACTTTGCTACCAATCTCCTACTCCTTGGAATAAAGCTTTATCCAGGACTTTCACCATCCAAAAAAGACCCCACCAAAATTTGGTTATTTATTTTGGGTAGGATTTATTTCCCTCTTAAATGTATGGTACATGTTGAGGTTCAGGCTGTTTACATTATTATTTTTGTTAGCAAAATCTACCTCCTGTTCTATTTTATAGACACTGTGGTCATGGTTCTGAAAACCACTTGAGCACGTATTTGGCTTTAAAGGCCTTGGGAATGTGCTTAAATTCAAAAATTAATTCTATGTGATTACCACTGTGCACTCATGATTAAAATTTCCCACTACTGATGTTTGCTGAGAGCTATGACAGGAACACAACAGAAGAGTGCACTGCTGGGTAACTAATGCTTAATTAGCACAGTGTAGCCATTATGAGACTTGCTTTTTTTAAAAAAAAAACAACAAACACAATAATTTGTATAATTTACAGCACAATAATGAGTGCTTTACTCCCATAAAAAAAACAGTCCCTGTCTCAGCAACCTGACGACCTAGATGCATCAGCCTTTGCCTTTAGGCTGACAAAAACTTAGAAGCATGGAGCTAATTCCTAACCATTTTCTGCATCAGTCAGATGCTTTCCTGTTTGCAGGCTTCCATTTTATCAGCTTCTATGTTCAGTCACTCATGACCAGTCTCATGCCTAATTGACCTTTCTTCACCCATTCAGTTGCCCCTCAAAACTGCCTGCATGCTGCTGATTCCATTTCAGACTGAATGGCTCCAAACCTGTCAGAGTCCAAGAAAGGAAGGACTCTATCCTTCTTGTACTGATGGTTTAGATGGAAACTCCTCCTTGTGGCTGAGATGTCTGAGGGCTAGATTCATCAAAACTACCTAAGCAGTTAAGGTAGTAACTAAAAAAGAAATTAAACCCAAATTTTAATATCAATTTTAATTTCATTATTTTATTTTTTTTCTCAGAACCTTAAGCAGCTTTCATGTGTCCTCCCAGTAGTCACCATAGTAATTATTTATTTTTTAGTGTTGGGAGTGAATGTGCCAAAGGCATAAAAAATACATAACTTTGTCTCTTGAACTGTGTTTGGTTTCAGTTGGCTGTGGATCAGTCCTGAATAATTCCACCAAATTTAACATCAAACAAAGCAGGGTCAGTGAGAAGTTCCTCAGCTGCTGGAGAGGCTAATGTAGTATTGATTGTATGCCTAGTCTTGTTAAGACAATTATCTGCATAGTTGAGACAGGTTTCTGGCCTGGTTTCTGGTGAAGGAATTGTATGAAGAGTTGGAATGTGCCATGGTCATAGACATGACATACTTAACCCAATAGCACAAATGGTAATGATATGTGTTGGTACCTGTATATTCAGTCCAGGTAGATTTTACTTAATGTGCTTCCAAACAGAAAGCATCACCTGATTTTTAGCAATCTCCAATTGCACAGTTTGTAATCATTTTGAAGGAGTAGAAGATGATTTAGGGACACTGTTCCACCGTATGCTGAAAGCCAAGTAACACCACATCAGAAGTCAGTTACTCCAATGTCCACTCTCAGTTCTGGGGATTAGAAACACATGTTCACAGACCTGCTATGACTGGTCCAGCACACATTGCATCACATCAGGCCCACATTATTTACATGGATTTTCACACACCAGTTCCTTGTCCAGAAATTTCGCAAACAAATGGATCTGGCAAGGCTTCGTTGTTTGTTTTTTCCCATGAGAAATCCAGCCAGTAGTGTGGAACATGGGACATGGTCAGAATCTGCTTTCAGGCATCCCAGTTTTAGTTATGTGGTTGCAGAGAGAGCACAGTCACCTTCCAACAAAGCCATATTCCTATGGAAATGCCTATGCCAAGCTTAAATCCATGCTGTTATTTTAATGAGCATTGTTGCACTGCTGAGAGTCATTAGAGACAAGAGATCATCTGACAGTGTCATTATCATAAACCACCACAGTATTTCAGTAGGTATGCATGATGTAGATGCATGCTGGACTAAACTTTAAGATTCAAAAGGCCCCCACATTTCCATCAATTCTTTGCTCACTTGTTCATTTTTGCAGATCAAACACATTTAACTTTAAAAGCTTACTTTATTTTTATTTTTAAAATTTATTTCCAGTTTATCATTAATAGTGTAATTTGGGAGGGGAAGCTTGTTTCTGCTTTTCCTTTAACAGATTCTTCATAAATTTTGTATCACTTGTTGAAAACTCAATGAAAAGAAAATAAACCCCACATATATGTAGCTAATTCAGGTCTACGTCATTCCTCCAATCAGCATCTTGCTGGAAAGAAAGGAGAATCATGGCATATATCATAGGTAGGTATGATTTTACATATGGTGCAACCTAGAGGGTTAGGGCAGGAGAAGCAATGTTGTAACACAGATGTTTTGGTAAACAACACTCCTCTACAGTTCACCTACAAAGTCACTGGACACTCAGTGATTCATTCTGCTACCGCTTCGTCTTGCTGCAAGTGCTCAGACTGCCAGCATTAATAATTATCCACAGGGTCTTCTTGTCAAAAGTCTCCTTTTTTTTTACAAGAAAATGGCAGATATTTGGTGATGGGTCTATTCTTTAGTAGGGCACTTGAATTTCTTAACCCCAGGTATTATCAGTTGAGCATTGGAATGCCCACTAACCCAGCAAGGAAAGGAACTCGTAGCCCTGGGCTGATCCTTTTTTATCACAAGAAAATACGAAGAAAAACATAGACAATGATCATTTGGTATCAGTGCATGATCAGCAAGGACTCAGTTCTCATTTCTATAAAAATGCTAGGAAAGGAGATGTTTGCTACTTTGATTGACACTACTTCTTGATTTATTTAATACTCTTGTTCACAACTCTATACTTTTCCTTTACGTTTCCTAAGACATATT